AAAACACGAGAAAAGGCAATTAGAAACTTTTATGATAGTTAACAGGATAATTTTGCATATGTTTAATCCAATAAATATTTGGACATGTATTTTTATTTTTCAAATTGTAATAATACTTAAAATTTTTTTGACCTAACGGATGTAAAAGTTTTAAATGTACAACATAATTATTATATATATATTATGGTCACAGTGTTTAACATCCATCACTATGCAGTGGAAATTTTTTTCTTATAAGAACTTTAAATATTTACTCTTAATTTTCAAGTACACAATGCAGTCTTATTGACTGTAGTCACCATGCTGTACATTATATCCCCATGAATTATTTTGTAAGTGGAAGTGTGTATCTTTTGACCACCTTCACCCATTTTGTCCACCCCCACCCTCCACCTTTGGCAACCACCAATCTGTTCTCTTTATCTATGAGCTCATTTTAATTTTATTTAAGATTCTACATATAAGTGACATCATAAGGTATTTATTTTACTCTGACTTATGTCACTTAGCATGATGCCCTCAAGATCTATATATATTGTCTCAAATGGCAGGATTGCCTTCATTTTTATGACTGAATAATATTCCATTGTATATATGGACACCATATTTTCCATAGCCATTCATTCACTGACAGGCACATAGGTTATTTCCACGTTTTAGCTATTGTAAATAATGCTGCAATGAATATGGGGATGCAGAGGTTTTTTTGAGTTAGTGTTTTAATTTTCTTCAGGTAAGTACCCAGAAGTGGAACTACTGGATCATGTGGTAGTTCTAGTTTTAATTTTTTGAGGAACCTCCACTATGTTTTCCATAGTGGCTTCACCAATTTACATTCCCAGCAGCAGTGCACAAATGTTACCTTTTCTCCACTTTCTCACCAGCACTTATTTCTTGTCTTTTTGATAATAGCCATTCTAACAGGTGTAAGGTGACATTTTATTGCTATTTTGATTTACATTTCCTGATGATTAATGATGGTGAGCACCTTCTCATATACCTGTTGACCATATGTACATCTTCCTTGAAAGAATGTCTTTTCAGATCCTCTATGAATTTTAAATCAGATTTTTTTTGCCAAGTTGTATGAGTTCTTTATGTATTTTGTATCTTAACCCATTATCAGATATATAATTTGTAAATATTTTCCACTTCAGAAAGTTGTCTATTTGTTTTGTTGATGGTTTTCTTTGCTGTGAAGAAGCTTTGTAGCTTGATATAAGCCTGCTTATTTATTTTTGCTTTTGTGCTTTTGCTTGGTGTCAAATCTAAGATAATCATCACCAAGATCCATGTTAAGGCACTTACTGCCTGTATTTTATTATAGTGGTTTTCTAGTTTTAGTTCTTACATGCAAGTCTTTAATCCATTTTGAGATTTTTGTATGTAAGAAAGTGGTCCAGTGTCATTCTTTTGCATATGGCTGTCCAGTTTTCTCAATACCATGTATTGAAGAGACTGTCTTTCCCTGACTGTATATGCTTGCCTCCTTTGTTGTAGATTAATTGACCATATAAGCATGGGTTTATTTCTGGGCTTTCTGTCCTGTTCAGTTGATCTGTGTCTGTTTTTATGCCAATGCCATATTGTTTTGATTACTATAGCTTTATAGTATAGTTTGAAATCAGGAAGCGTAATGCCTTCAGTTTTGTTCTTTCTCAAGATTGCTTTGGCCATTTGGGGTCTTTTGCACTTCCATTCAAATTTTGGAATTATTTGTTTTAGTTTTGTGAAAAATACTATTTGTATTCTGATAAAGATTGCATTAACTGTGTAGATTACTTTGGGTAGTATGGACATTTTAACAGTTCTTCCAATCCATGACCATGGAATATATTTTCATTTATTATGTCATTTTCAGCTTCTTTCATCAAAGTCTTGTGGTTTCCATGTACAGGGTTTTCACCTCCTTGGTGAACTTTATTCCTAGGTATTTTTTTTATGCAATTGTAAATGACGTTTTAATTTCTCTTTCCACTACTTCATTATTAGTGTATAGAAATGCAAAGGATTTCTGTATATTTTGTATCATGCAATGTTACTGAAGTCATTTATTAGTTTTAGTAGTTTTTCGGTTGAGTTTTTAGGGTTTTCTATCTACAAATATTAACAGTTTTACTTTTTCTTTTCCAGTTTTGATGCCTTTTATTTCTTTTTCTTGCCTAATTACTCTGGTTATGACTTCCAATATTTCTTGTATAAAAGTGATGAGTAGGCATTCTTGTCTTGTTCCTGTTATTAGAGGAAAAGCTTTCAGCTCTTTGAGTATGATATTAATTGTGGGTTTGCCATATGTGGCTTTTATTATTATGGTATATTCCCTCTATACCCTCTTTGTTGAGTGTTTTTATCAAGAATGGATGTTGAATTTTGTCAGATGCCTTTTTACATCTATTGTGATGATTATATTTTTATCCTTCATTTTGTTAATCACATTGATTGGATTTTTGGATGTTGGTCATTCTTGAATCCCTGGAAGAAATCCTACTTGATCAATCATTGTGCATGATCATTTTAATGTATTGTTGAATTTGGTTGCTAGTGTTTTGTTGAAGATTTTTGCATCTATGTTCATCAGGGATATTGGTTTGTAATTTTCTGTTTTGTGGCATCCTTGTCTAGTTTTGATGTCAGGGTAATTTAGGCCTTATAAAATGAGTTTGGAAGTGTTCTCTGCTCTTTTACTTTTTCAAAGAGTTCCAGAAGGATCATTATTAATTCCTATTTAAATGTTTGGTAGAATTCACCAGTGAAGCCATCTGGTACTGGATTTTTTGTTTGGGGGAGTTTTTTGATTAGTGATCCAGTTTCCTTACTCATTATTGGTCTATTCAGATTTTCTTTATCTTGGTGATTCATTGTGATATATTGTATGTTTCTAAGAATTTATCTGTTTCTTCTAGGTTGTCCAACTTTTTGGCCCATAATTGTTAATAGTAGTCTCTTGTGATCCTTTTTATTTCTGTGGGATTAGTTGTAATGTCTCTTCTTTAATTTCTAATGTTATTTATTTGGGTCTCCCTCTTTACTTCTTAGTCTAGTGAAGGGTTTATTGTTTTTTTCTTTTTGAAAAACCAATTATTAATTTCACTGATTTTTAAAAACTATTTTCCAGTTCTCAGTTTCTGCTCTAATCTTTATTATTTCATTTCTCTGCCAAATTTGGAATTAGTTTGTTGTTTTCTAGTTTCTCAAGGTATAAAGTTATGTTAATTTTGAGATCTTCTAAATAAAAAGTTTATTGCCATCAACTTTCCTCTTAATATTGTTTTTACTGTCTATAAGTTATGGTATGTTGTTTTTCATTTTGTTTTGATGTATTTTCTAATTTCCTTTTTGATGAGTGTTTTTAAAATTTCCACATACATGTGAATTTTTCCTTTTTATTTCTATTATTCATTTGCAGTTTTCTTTCATTGTCAACAGAAAAAAAAATACTTGGAATGATGCTGGTCTTTAAAAAAATTTTTTAAGACATGTTTTGTGACCTAGCAATGTGGTCTGTGTTGGAGAATGTTCCACGTGCAATTGAGAAGAATGGGTATTCTGCTGCTTTTGGTGGTATGTTGTGTACATGTCTTTTGTTTCCATTTGATCTATACTGTTCACTTCTGCTATTTCCTTAGTGTTTTTTTCTGTCTGGATGATTTATCCACCATACAGTTAGGTATTGAAGTGTCCTATTGCATTGCTGTCTGTTTCTCTCTTCATATCTATATGTGTTTGCTTTATATATTAATAAATATTTATAGGTTTATGTTTGATGTTGGGTGCATATATAGTTATAATTATTATACTTTCCTATAGAATTGACCCTTTTATCATTAAAAAAAACTTTCTTTGTCTTGTGACAGTTTCTGATGTAGTGTCTTTTGCCTGGTATAGCAACTCTTGTTCTCTTTGCTACTATTTGCATAGAATATTTTTCTTCACCTTTTCACTTTTAGCCTATGTGTGTCTTTGCATTTCTAGTGAGTCTCTTAGCATATAGTTGAGTCTTGTTTTTTTAATCCACTCAGCCACTCTGTCTTTTGATTTAGGAGTTCAGTCCATTTACATTTAAAATTGATAGGAAAAGACTTACTACTGCCATTTTGTTAATTGTTTTCTGTCTGTTTTTAGTACTCTTGTTCCTCTCTTATGCACTTACCTTTCTTTGATGACTATGTGTAGTGGTATGCTTTGATTCTTTTCTCTTATCTTTGGTGATTCTATTACATTTTTATTTTTGCAATTACCATTGGACTCTCATCAAACATTTTACAATCATAATAGCCTATTTTAAGCTAATAACTTCAGTTGCATACAGAAAGTGTACATTTTACTTCTTCCCTCACACATACATTTTATGAATTGATGCCAGATTTTACTTCTTTCTATTGTGTTTCCATGAACAAATTTCATTGCTTATAGTTATTCTTACTACTTTTGTTTTTATTTTACAAACTGGTGCTAAAAGTGTATATGCACCATCATTAGAATACTATAGTGTTGTATTTATTATATTTTAGCAGAGAGAATTATACTTTTATATGCTTTCATGTTATTGTTTAGTATTTTTTTTGTTTCAACTTGAATTCCTTTTAGCACTTGTGGCTGACTTATGTTGTAGTACTTACTATATATATTTCTTTCTTACTGAATCATGCAAAAATCATGCTATTTTTCTCAGTGACCTTCAGAGCCTGGCTTCTCAAAGTGTCATCTGCAAGCAAGCAGCATACACATCACTTGAGAGCTTGTTAGAAATTAAGGATCACAGGCTCTATCCTAGACCTACTGAATGATAATTTACATTTTAACAAAACTCTCAAATTTATTAAAATCAAGCCTTTGTTATAATCAGGTTACTTAGTATTTTATAGTATATCATCCAAGAGCAGTCTTACAACACACCAACTAGAAATTCCCAGGATTTATTATTATTCATTTACTGAAAGCTCTTGCCAGCTAAAATATACAATGTATTTTTTCTGTTATATTTTGAATACTTTTGGTACCTTGGATACTATTACCTTCTTCATTACAGGTCTTAGAGATCAAAGATCCAGCACAGATATCCTCTTCAAGTTCATTTCTTCTGTCAAGTGCTTGTCTGTTGTGTTTTTTTTTAATTGAAAAAAAGATTAAAAGAAAATTACAGGGTTAAATTTGTTACAGATTTTTAAGTATTGAATATTTTCAAACTTCTAAGGCTTTTAAAATGTAGGTTAAGAATATTTTATTGGATACATTCAACAATATAATCATTTAAACACCATAATATTAAAAACACTTAAAACTACTTTTAATTTTCTCACCATACATATTTTACAGAGCATTTTGCAAAGCAATTAAATTAAACTTTAATAGACAAATAAAGTGTTTTACATATGCAGCTTTCAAAAGAAGTAACCATGGAAAGAAAATGTTATGCTGTGAACTTCTGGGTATTACAAAATTAGAATGAATGGTTATGTTTCCCATTAAATAAGTTTAAGTTTCCTATTTTAAAAGCATTCCACTATTAGTGGAAAAACAGAAAAACAGGAAAGGGACATTAACATAATCCAAATACCAAACTGCTCACCTAGATAGTTATCTCCTCTACTTACTATTACGCATCTTTTTTAAACAAATAATGCTGAGACAATATTATTTTATAAAATTTTACATAACTTTCTTATGTGATAACATTTTTTGGTTTATAATTTTTATTATACATTAAATAGACTTTTAAAGGTATTCATTCTAGAATTTTAACAGGTGTATAAATTCATGTTATTACCACCATAATCAGAATACAAAATAGTCCCATCATGCCAAAATAATTCCCTCATATTGCATAGTCACACCCTCCACTACAAATAATGCCTGGAAACCACTAATTACTTCTCTGTAATTAGAGTTTTGACTTCAGGAGTGTCATATAATAACAATGATGCAGTATAAACTTTTGTGACTTCCTTTTGTCACTCAGTATAATACCCTTGGTTTTCATCTAAGATGTTACATGTATCAATACTTCATTATTTTTCAATTGCTGAGCAGTATTCCATTGCATAAATGTACCAGTTTGCTTATTCACCTGTTAAAGGATATTTGTTTTCTCAGATTTTGGCAGTTATGAATAAAATTACTATAAACATTCATGGACAGACATCGTGTACAGACACATTTTGTGTAAATAAGTTATAATTTCTCTATGGTAAATACACAAGAATAGGATTGCTGGCCCATATGGTAAATATATGTTAGCTTTATAGGGAACTGCTAAACTGTTACCTAGGATGGCTGTACCATTTTGCATTCTCACCAGCAAGGTATTTGAGTTCCAGTTCTGCATCCTAACCAGTGCTTGGTATTGTCAGTATGTTTTTATTATAGACATTCCAACAGGTATGCAGGGTTATCTCATCATGGTTTTAATTTTGCATTTCCCTCATGGCTAATGATATTGAATTATTTCATCTTCTTTTTTGTAATCTATCTCATTAAAGTGTCTGTTCAAGTCAAGTCTTTTGCCCATTTTAATTGGGTCATTCATTTTCTTGTTCCATTTGAGAGTTTTTATATGCTCTGGATACAAATCTTTCATCTGATAGGTGATTTGCAAATATTTTCTTGTAGGATATAGCCATGTAGCTTGTTTTCTCATGCTTTTAACAGTGTCCTTTGAAGAGCAAAAGTTGATGAAGTCCAGCTTATTTTTTTTAACAGATCATGCTTTTAGTGTCAGATTTAAGAATTCTTTGACTAATCCCAGATCTTTAAGATTTCCTCCTATGTTTTCTTCTAAAAGTCTTACTGTTTTACATTTTATGTTTATATCTATGATCCATTTTGAGTTAATTTTTAAGTAAGGCCTGAGGTTTAGTTTGGGGCTCATTGTTTTTAGATATAGATGACCAATCATTCCAGTACCATTTGTTGAAGAGTATCCTTTCTGAATTGAATAGCATTGTATTTTGTCAAAAATCAGTTGGGCATACTTATATGGATCAATTTCTGGGTTCTCTATTCTGTTTCACTAATCTGTATTTTGATGACACCACAATTTCTTGCTTAGTATAGCTTTAGAATAGGGAATGGCAAAGCACAGTCCATGGATCAAACCCAGCCCATGCCTATTTTTGTAAGTTTTATTGGCACATATCCACACCCATTCATTTACATTTTGTCAATGGCTGTTTTCTTGTTACAACAGCAGACTTTACATGTGATTGGGAAGGTAGGACCTGCAAAATCTAAATATTTACTCAATGGCTCTTTACCAATGTTTGTTGAAAAAAGTATGTTTTTAGTTTTACTCGTCCAACATTGTTTTTCCCTTCTAAAAACATTTTTGCTACTCTAGTTTCTTTGTCCTTTTATATACATTTTAGCATTATTTATAAGCAACCCTTTTAGGATTTTGATTCGAATTGTGTTAAATCTTTAGATTAGTCAGAAGGCAACTGATATCTTTACTATGTTGAGTCTTCCAACATGTAAACATGGTGTGTCTGTCCATCTGTTTTGGTCTTGATTATTTTAAACAGTGTTTAAAACACATTTAAAAAAAACTCTCCCAAACCAAAAGTCCAAGACCAAGTAGTTTCACAGGTGAATTCTAAATATTTAAAGAAGAGTTAGTACCTATTCTCTCAAATTATTCCAAAAAGTTAAAGAGGAAGGAATCCTTCTGAATGCATTTTATGAGGCCAGTATTACCCTGAGACCAAAGCAGACAAAGACATAACAAAAAAAGAAAATTACAGGCCAATATTCCTGATGAACATAGATGTAAAAATCCTCAAAAAATATTAGCAAACTGAATTAAAAATACATCAAAAGAATCATACACAGTGGTCAAGTGGGATTTGTTCCCGGGATGGCAAGGATGGTTCAGTATCTGCAAATCGGTCAATGCGATATACCACATTAAGAAATCATAATCATTTCAATATGTGCAGAAAAGGTATCTGATAAAATTCAACACAATTTATAATAAAAACACAACAAAGTGGGTATAGAAGGAACATACTTTAACATAGTAAAGGCCATAGCTGACAAACCCACAGCTAACATTATACTCAACAGTGAAGAGCTAAATTTTTCCTCTAAGATCAGTAACAAGACAAGGACGCCTAATCTCACGAGTTTTATTCAGCATAGTATTGGAAGCCCTTACCTAGTTAGGCAAGAAAAAGAAATAAAATGCATGCAAATTGGAAAGTAAGAAGTAAAACTGTCACTATTTGCAGATGACATGATAATATATATATAAAACCCAAGACTCCACCAAAAAACTAGTAGCACTAATCAATGAATTCAGTAAAGTTGCAGGATTCAAAATTAACATTTGATTGGCATTTCCCTGATGATTAATGATGTTGAGCATCTTTCCATGTGTCTGTTGGCCACCTGTATGTCTTCCTTGGAAAAATGCCTATTCAGATCCTCTGCCCATTTTTTAATTGGTTTATTTGTTTTCTGGTGTTGGTTGAATTTCTATATACTAATAACAAGCTATCAGAGAAATTAGGTAAAGAATGCCATTTACATTGGCATTAGAAAGAATTAAAAACCTGGGAATAAATTTATTTTTATTTTTTACTGGATTATAGTTCATACACAATGCTATACTTGTTTCAGATATATGGCATAGTGATTCAGTAATTATACATTACTAAAATGCTTGCCATTCTAAGTCTACCCCATTACCATACCAAGATTCTACAATATTATTGGTTATATTCTCTATGCTGCATTTCCATTCCTGTGACTAATTTATTTTACAATTTGAAGCAGGTACCTCTTTATCACTTTCAACCATTTCACCCATTCCCCTACCCTCCTCTATGATAACCAAGAATCTGTTGTCAGTATTTATGGTTCTGTATCTTTTTTGTTTGTGTTGTGTTTTAGATTGAATATAAAAGTGAGGTCATATGGTATTTCACTTAGCATGATACCCACTAGGTCCATCCATGTCATAAAGGCAAGATTTCCTTCTTTTTGTGGCTGAATACTATTCTGTTGTGTATACATACTGCTTTATCCATCTATCAATGGGCACTTGGGTTGCTTCTGTATCTCGGCTATTGTAAATACTATGGCAAGAAACAGCTGTGTATATCTTCTTGAATCATGGATTTTGTTTTCTTTGGGTAAATGTCCAGATGGAATTATTGGGCGAGATAGTATTTCTATTTCAGTTTTCTGAGAAACCTCCATACTGCTTTCAATAGTGGCTGTGCCAATGTACATTTCAACCAGCAGTATGAGGGTTCCTATTTCTCCATAGCCTTGCTAACACTTGTTATTTCTTATCTTTTGGATAGTGACCATTCTGACTGGTGGGAGGTGATATCTCATTGGCGTTTTGATTGGCATTTCCCTGATGATTAGTGATGTTGAGCATCTTTTCATATGTCTGTTGGCCACCTGTATGTCTTCCTTGGAAAAATGTCTATTCAGATCCCCTGCACATTTTTTAACCGATTTATTTGTTTTTTGGTGTTGAGTTGTATGAGTTCTTTATATATTTTGGATATTAGCCCATTTCCAATATATCATATGCAACTATATTCTCTCATACAGTAGTTTGCCTCTTCATTTTGTCAATGGTTTCCTTTGCAAAAAAATTATACTAGTAATAAATTTAACCTAGGAGGCAAAAGAACTGCAGTCTGAGGAGTATAAGACATTGATGAAAGACACTGAAGAAGACACAAATAAATGGAAAGATACTCCATGCTCATGGATTGGAAAAATGAATATTGTTAAAATGTACATACCATGCAAAGCAGTCTACAGATTCAGTGCAATCCCTATCAAAATACCAATGAAATTTTCACGGATCTAAAACAAAGAATCCTAAAATTTGTATGGAACCACAAAAGACTCTAAATAGCCAAAGCAATCTTGAGAAAGAATAACAAAGCTGGGGGTATCATGGTCCCTGGTTTTAAACTATTACAAAACTATAGTAAGCAAAACACTGTGGTACTGGCATGAAAACAAACACATAGATCAGTGGAACAGAATAGAGAGTCCAGAAGTAAACCCATATATCTTTGGCCAATTAATCTATAACAAAGGAGGAAAGAATATACACAGGGAAATGATAGT